CTCAGGCTGAAGCTCATCTCTTGCGCTTTGGCTATGCTGACTCTTGCCATCACCACAAGTGTGGAAAACTCAGTTGCATGTTCTATGAACTGGGCTGATGTTGATGTTCTCCATGATATTTATTTAATTTAAAGCATTGCCAACTTGGGCAACCAGAAAACAACATTTGTTTTTCAAGGTTTTAATCTCATTCATAGAAAATTCCATTAATGAAAACTCCCTTTTGAAGGACTTCTGGAGACTGAAGCCTGGAAGATGTGCCAGTCTCCTACCCTGAGGTTCTGGCTCAATGCTCTAGATACAGGAGAAGATACAGCTTTTAGGTCTGTATTTTGTGGGCCTTAACCACAATTTAGGCTTGTCTGGCCTGGTGCCTTTTGGAAAGAGTAGATCTGTTATAGAGAGGTCTTGCTATGTAGATATGAGAATGGATGTGCTGGCTTAGATCAAATATGCATCTAGCCCCATATCCTGTCTCTAGTGGTGCCAGCAGCAAATGCTTAGGGCAAGATATAAGACCATGGCAAGCCTCTTGGTGTTACTTCCTGTGGTCCTTCCAACTCATGGCAATTTGCAGCTGAAGGACTTCCTGAGCTATGGATCATATCCGCATCCTTGTGTGCAATCGTCCTTGATGGAGCTTTCAATGTCTTTAATTGCTATTTGAACCCATTTATGCTTTTGGCTTCTACAACGTCCTATGACAATAAGTGATACCACTTAATTATGTGCTGTTTAAAAACATAACCATAAATCATAATAGCCTTCACTTGTAATAAAAGCTTTGAATTTGGATAAGATTGCCAGCATGGATAAAGTCTGCATAATTACATCCGTGTATTATGTCTAGAGCAATAAGAGCCTCCTACCAAAGTGTGAGGAATACATATGACTAGATTATGGCAAGATCTTCAAGAGAGATTGGTAATTCAGGATCCCTCAGCTCCCAGCTGCCTGATGGCATGTGCTTTGGCAGGGTCTGGTTTACACAGAGCTGTCCATCTGTTTTCTTTTCCCCAGTGCAGTTAGTAGGAAAGGTTTATCCATCTTTACAGACTGTGGTTTAAGGAGAAACATCAGGGGAGTTGATGCTTTCCCTGTGACTTTTGCTTCCCTAGGAATCTACAAAGGCTTGAGGAGCAATTCTGCTCTGCACTGCTGTTGTTTCAAACCTGGTTCCTGGTTTATGGCTCAGCCTGGAAGAGTTTCCTTGTGAAAACAAGCATAGCCTTGGGCTTCTTACTCATGGGCCACAGAGGAAAACTTGGCTCTGCTGGAGAACTCTGCTCTGTGAGGTTGTTACTGTAAGGTAAGGGAGAGCTTGTACCTGCTTTGAAGACCAACCTCACCCACCACCCATTTGACTCTGTCCAAAGCTGGACTAACAACTGTTTGCTGGAAGGAGAGAGCCCAGAGAGGCTGGGATCAGCCCATGCTCATTCAAGCTGAGGTACCCTGAACATGGGAGACTGAGTCCTGCCACTGGTTCCTCAACCTGTAGATGGCTTCCAAGAGGCACCCCATCTATTAGAGCAACCTGCTCTGAAGCTTGGCCTTCATATGGTAGAGAGACGTGTCCTGTGTTCTCAAGGCAACTCTGAGAGCTAGATCTGATCTGCTTCTTGGCACTTTGACCTTTCCTTCCCAATAACTGATTTTTTTTGGGGGTGGCAGAGGCAAAAAACATGTAATTCTGCAATGTTTTCTGATTGGAAGCCCTCAACCTTTTGTTTTTCCTGAGGGTGCTGGTAACCTTGGTACCACCAGCTCCTCAGAGTTTCTCTGGGTGCTTTTCTGATGTGAGTTTTGGGGGGAAGAAAAGGGGTCCGATTGCTTAATCCTTTCAGCTAAGTAAAATCATCTGCACTGGTAAATTCTCCAGGAGATGTACAGTTCACTGCTTGTCAAGCCAGGATATTAAATTAAGCAATTTTCATCAGATAACACATCTTCTGGTTCATGTAAAACGTCCAGCAAATCGCTGCACTCATAATTCAGCCTGATTGAAAGTGAGCTGCTAATCCATTTCACTTTGGAGATAGGCAAGAGCATGGCAGAGGGGCCATCTCTGCAGGAGACTCCTGTTTGCAGCCATGCACATGAATGTGCTCCCCTTGGGTGCTCTGGTGCTGGTCTTTGCTGACCCTTTCAATGCTGCGTAGCGTGGCCTGGATTAGCTGCTACACAGGGAATCCTCTTAAGTGACGAAACCATCGCTTGGGGAAATCATTCTGCTTCACTTCCCTCCTGGTAGGTATGGATGGTGGAAGCCTCCACTAAGGCTCATTCCTGGGTTTCTGGGAGCTTTTCTTAGTGGCCCTGAGCTCCTGCCCATCCAGAGTTATATTTGCTTCCCACGAAGGTCTTGCCCAGCCCTCTGTGGCAGCCTGACCTCCCATTGCAGCTGAACCAGGTACCCAATGCTAGAGTGTGAATTTGAGCATTCAAAGTTTATAACTCGGGATGTATCATGAAAGGACCTGAAAACATTCTGGGTGTCATAGAATCATAGAATAGTTAGGGTTGGAAAGGACCATCTAGGGTTGGTAAGATCATCTAGTTCCAACCCTCCTGTCATGGGCAGGGACACCTCACACTAAACCATCTCACCCAAGGCTTCGTCCAACCTGGCCTCGAACACTGCCAGGGATGGAGCATTCACAACCTCCCTGGGCAACCCATTCCAGTGCCTCAGCACCCTTACAGTAAAGGATTTCCTCCTTATATCCAATCTAAACTCCCCTGTTTAAGTTTTAACCCGTTACCCCTTGTCCTGTCACTACAGTCCCTAATGAAGAGTCCCTCTCCAGCATCCCTATAGGCCCCCTTCAGATACTGAAAGGCTGCTCTGAGGTCTCCACGCAGCCTTCTCTTCTCCAGGCTGAACAGCCCCAACTTTCTCAGCCTGTCTTCATACGGGAGGTGCTCCAGTCCCCTGATCATCCTCGTGGCCTCCTCTGGACTTGTTCCAACAGTTCCATGTCCTTTTTATGTTGAGGACACCAGAACTGCACACAATGCTCCAGGTGAGGTCTCACAAGAGCAGAGCAGAGGGGCAGGATCACCTCCTTCGACCTGCTGGTCATGCTCCTTTTGATGCAGCCCAGGGTATGGTTGGCTTTCTGGGCTGCAAGTGCACACTGCCATTAGCAATAATAATGAAAATAGCAGTAGTAGGGGAACTTACCTGCTGATGCTTTAAAGTTTCACATTGTTCCAGCCTCCCCAGCAATCACTCTGGGAACCATTCCCCCATTTCTTCTATTTCTCTTTTAATTAAAGCTGAGTTTCCCTGTAACTCCATGACTCGAGAAACTGGGGCCTGAGAAAACCCCAAAATGTCTGTTGTCCTGAGGGACACAGGTCCTTTCCCAGGATCAGCCTGCCTGTGTCCTGGTAGGCTAAAGACAAGTGATTTCAGCTATGTCAGGTGAATTGTGTGTTTTGCCTTTGTGGGCATCCATGGCTCGCTGAGGACTACTTGGCATACCTCCCCTAGTGAGTGGTTGTGTCATCTAAATCGTCTCACCCAATTCATTTCCCTTTAACCAAGATGGAAAACACCCATCTTCTGCTGAAGAGAAGTGAGCCAGGGGCAGCTCCGCACCTCTCCAACGCGATTAGCAAACCGGACATGAACCGCTTCATTAAAGCCAAATAACCCCGAGCAACCACATCATTATAAAAGACCCAGGAAATCCTATCGCCAGGCAGAGCAGCAGTGTCCCCCCTCCCCCTGTGAGTAGAGCCTTCCTCTTCAAAACCCGGTGACCTTATGCTCCCTTCCTCCCCAACTCCTGCTGCTTTACTGCGAGGCAAAAGCCCTGTGCGATGCGTGGAGGGGTAGGGCTTTATTCCCTCCTTTCCCTCCACGGGGGGCCCGTTTTCAAAGCCCAGCTCTCTATATCCAGCCCTGCCTGCTCATAAAATGACTCGCAGCAAAATAAAATGGCACGTGAACAATCCCACACAACCGGCTCCTGTCTGGATGGGAGGGTTGGGGCTCAGTGATGAGCAGCCAGGACAGAGTAGGACAGGCAGTGGGAGGGAGCAGAGGATCAGCAGTGATGGGTGCTGAGAATGAGCCACAGTTAGGCTTGATATTGGTTCTTTGGTGTATATATATCGCAGATAAAAGAGACTATGTGTATACGAAGTCACTCTATTGTTATAGCACCGCAATATAGTTACAGCACCACAATAATGTTATCTCTATAGGTATATTAACAAACTTTGACTGGTTTAGATATAATAATAGCAAGGGGGTTTCTTTCCTTACTCAACTCTGAGTGCACCGTCAGCATTTTCAGCCATTCCATCTTGGCTTCTTCCCACTCAGGCTCTCGCTACATCTCGCATCCCAGCAGTGCATCCTTGCTCCTGCTGCCTGGTGTTGTGTGAGGATCCTGGCTTCATTTTCCGCTGCCTGGGAAAATCCTGCCCCGAGTCCTTTTTTGGGTACCAGCTCCGTAAAACTTCTTTTCAAATCGCACAAGATTTCATCTGTAAAAATCCTAGGAGGAGTTTTGCCTTAATAGAGCTGGATTTAACCTGTTGTTGCCTTTATCAGCTGCTCTGGAAAGAAAATCAGCTTGAAACAGTCAGGTGCTTGGCACATACTCCCCTTCTCTCCATATTTCAGCTCTAACATCAATGACTTTCAGTCTGTTGGTTCAGCCTGCGTTAGCTGTGTGTGGATTTGCATGCCACTATTAATTGCAGAGCAAATTAACCTTCTTCAGACCATATGTTGCTGCTATCATGTGTGCAAATATGCTGTTAGTGACTGTAAAAAAAAACAGAAATAAAAGCACAGTTGGACTCATGTTGTTGCCAAGAGATTAAATGCCAATGCTTAAAGACTTGGCAGTGTTTCCACAATGGGACTTTTGTCGTGTAATGTTGTATCTGCTGGGATTATCCTTTGAAAAGCCTGGCAGTGTCCTCAGAAAATGCAGCCTCTAGCTTCTAATTTTCCTTTTATCTTCTTTTTTTGGCAGCCACTTGAAGAAATCCCTTTGCCATTTTCAGACTGGAGACCTTCTGTTCTCCTCCAGCAAAGTACCAGTTCTGCACGCAACAGATTTCTCCACTCAGCATCTTTGGGACACCCGTCGATCAATGACAGGGAATTTGAGTAAGAGGAGGGGTGACTTGGAAAATAAACTCTTCACGTTCAACTGACGAAGTGGGAAACATCCGCTGCTGGCCTGTCTACACCGGCTTTGATGGAGTTGTGCCAGTGTGGAGTTTGGCCGGGCGTCCTTCAAGTCATTATTCTTTCACTGGTTATTTGCTAGAGTGAATTGAAAGCCTGAGTTTTACATCTGCTTCCTCACGGACTTTCTTTCTTTCTATGATGAACACTTTATTTTCATATTTGGCTTTCACAAAGCCTGGGTTGCAAACATTGGTTTAATGGTGGCCAGGTTTTATGGGGGGAATCAGGGGCTATGTGCACGCACAGGTATAGATGCGGTTTGTTATTCTACAGACACTCATCGGCAGTGAGGTATTTTTGTGGAGCTGGAAAAAATTATATGCAGAAAAAATTGTTCTGAAGGAAAACCAGCACATATGAAATCTTCCCCTTTTCTTCTTTAGTTTTAGTGGAGTCCTATATTTAGGAGCAAAAAGCAGTTATAAAGGCACAGACATCTTAAACATAGTCTAGTCTGTCTGTACTTTAGATAACTATTTAGATAGTCATCAATTACATATGAACAATCAATGTTAAGGTAATTATAGAATCATAGAATTGTTTGGGTTGGAAAGCACCTTAAGATCATTCAGTTCCAACCCCCTGCCATGGGCAGGGACACCCAAGCCCCATCCAACCTGGCCTTGAACACCACCAGGGATAGAGCATTTACCACTTCTCTGGGCAACCTGTTCCAGTGCCTCACCACCCTCGCAGTAAAGAACTTCCTTGTTTAACCTGATTATTATATTATTATGTAGTACTTATACTATCACTATAATTAACTTGATTATGAAAGTGATTATAATTAAGTCAACTGCTTTAATAACAATTAATTGTCTTGCTGCTCTCCGTAGGTCCCCATTTCCCAACAGCTCTTGAGGACTCTCCACCACTGAGTTCACCCTCTCTGTGGGAAGAGGTGGGACTGCAAGAGCTCAGTGATGGCTTTTCAAACCTGAAGCAGAAGCAAAGCTGCTGAAAGGTAAGTAATAAAAGGCCTATAAAATTGCCTTTTGTTTAATAAAAATTCCTGTCAGCATCTCAGGAACTAAAATTGTAGCTGGATGTTTGATGGCTGCCAGCCTATCAAAAGCAGAAGATGAATTTCATAGAATCATAGAATAGTTTGGGTTGGAAAGGACCTTAAGATCATCAAGTTCCAACCCCACTGCCATGGGCAGGGACACCTCACACTAAACCATCTCACCCAAGGCTCTGTCCAACCTGGCCTTGAATACCACTAGGGATAGAGCATTCACAACCTCCCTGGGCAACCCATTCCAGTGCTTCACCACCCTAACAGGAAAGAATTTCCTCCTTATATTCAATCTAAACTTCCCCTGTTTAAGTTTGAACCCGTTACCCCTTGTCCTGTCACTACAGTCCCTAATGAAGAGTCCCTCCTCAGCATCCTTATAGGCCCCCTTCAGATACTGGAAAGCTGCTATGATGTCTCCACACAGCTTTCTCTTCTCCAGGCTGAACAGCCCCAACTTTCTCAGCCTGTCTTCATACAGGAGGCGCTCCAGCCCCTGATCATCCTCGTGTCCCTCCTCCCATTTTAGGTATAAAATGCTCCCTGCTCAATAGTAAGAGCCCAATGAAGCTACAGATCAGGTAAACATTTGGGTACCAGCCATATTTAGTGTTTAGCACATGCAAAGAGGATCCCATAGTGATGCACCTGACCTCCTGCATGGCTCCTGCAATGGGATGAGGCTATGGGATCTGAAAACACCCTAGCAGAAAGTGGGTTTGCAATGTACAGGCAAAAGATCTTTGGTTATGGACTTCCCAAAGAGGGGGCTTTGGAGAGAAGGGATTAAAACTGCCTTGTCAGCAGTCTGCAGAAAGATGTGTGCTCACAGATAACCTAGATCTTGTCAATGTGCTTTCCAAGAGGATGGCTGAGGATGTTGCTCCTCAAAGAGCAGCACCATAGCCCCTTGCTGGAGAAGTTCTCCTTATGGCTTCCATGCAGAGCAGGCTCGAAAAGAGCCCTTGGTGGCCAGCAATAAAGGTGATCCAAAGCCCCCTGATCCTCTGATAACAACAGTGGCTTGTAAGCACGTTTGGGGAGGGCTTATCCCCCCTTTGCAACAGGAGTGTGCATTTGGCTGTAAATTTCTTCCAGCTGGAAAGTCAGAGAGAACACTGATAAGCTCCCTCTGTGTCCCCCCCCAGCTGGGAATGATGGATTGACCAGAGGTAACTCAACGTACCAGCTCCTTTCTCCTCCACAGTTGGAGCATATGGAATGTATTGTGGTCTGAGGGAAATACAGCTGAAGTATTTCTCCTGTGTCTCTTCAGGAGTGTTCCAGGGTGGATTACAGCAGGTGTCACACTTAAAGCAGGTTAAGTGACAAGCCCTAGTCACCTCCATCCAAAGTCACTGCAGACCTCAGCCCTAGGCTCCAAAAGCTTTGCTGTTGCTTGGGTTTGGGTGAGATTAGCAATGGGAGCTCCAAAATATTGGAAGAAAAAGAGAGACTTTCCAATGAGAGGGGACAACAAGGAAATAGCTGAGATCTGCCTGGAAAAAATACTGCGCAGTGTCTGATCCTGGGCTATGATGAGCAGTTTCCACAAAGTTCTCTTTATTCTCTGCTGTCTGAGGAATAAAACTGAACCACCACTGGTATTGCCTGGGAGATGCAGCGGTAAACGTGAATTACAGGAGGTCTTCAAGTTCTTTGAAGTTAGTAGCAATTTAGGTATTACCAGTGGTAATATTTCCAACCAAAAGCAATAGACTGCAGTTAGCCAGCGCCTTTTATTAAGGTACCCAGCCCCAGAAAGGACGGAGTCATCCCCACAGGACAAATTCACTCTGTTTTTTCACTAATAGCTACAATTCACTTTGGGTAAAAAGCAGGATCAAGCAGAAACACCAGCAAAGGCACATCCATTATGAGTAGTCAGAGCTTAAGCTGCCAGGCTGATGGGAACTCAGACTTGAGATAAAAATCTGTGCATTGACCCATGAGGCTGAATTACCCACTATATGGAACACCCCTGACCTAATCATCTTCCAGGAAAAGGCATGGTGTATTGGAAAGGATACAGAGATGCTTGGGAAGAAAATAGGGAAAGAGACCATTTCTGCCCCTGGAAGATGGGACCTACTTGAGGTGGGTGTTTCCAAAGTGCTTTTGCATGTGGAAGAGTTTTCTCCAGTGAAGTTTTCACCACAGCCCTGAGCAGGCTCTGATTTACAGCCCTTAGAACACCCAGGACACCACAATTGCATTTGGTTTCATGTCAGCCCTGAATGAAAAGGCAGGACTTCGTTTAGGCTAGACTTGTGCTTCTCAGGTTTTCCTTCTGCCTTGGTGCCTCCCTTCTGATCTGCAGCATCTTCTGTATTATCTGCCCTATTCAAGTCTGTACCAAACCCAAGAGTAACCTGTGCAGGGTGCTGTTGTGCCGGACACTGATGGGAATGTCAGTGGGTTTGTCTACAGTTGGGTTTTGTCCATACCCCTCCTTTTTTCTCCCCATTAAACTGCATTTTGGTGGAGCTTGAGGCTTATAGACATTTGTTTGGGATTTATGGATGTCTTGTCAGCGATAAAGGGTGAAGTTTTTTGGCCTAACAAATAACGTGAAGTCGCATGTATGGAATCAGGGTATCACCATAGTCTTGGTCAGAGTCTGGTGGTGAAGAGGCAAGGTGGTCTGTAGCTTCTCTGTGCAGCGCTGTGTGCTGATAACCGCCTGCCTTGTGCTTGTAGCGAGGGCAGAGAGAGTCCAACCTTCTTGCATGGTGTCTTGGTAAAGGGACAATAACACCCCAGAGCACATGGGTAAGATTCAGGCACAGAAATGGAGCCAGTTCTTTGTGGAAGAAAATATCTCTGAAAAAGCATCTGGACAAATCAGTCCCTGTATTTCCCTTCACTGGGACTCTGCTCCATAAGGAAAGGCTGCGGCATGCAACCCTGTTGTTGCATGTATTTTGATTGCCAAACTCTGAGAACACGTCTGGAGCCCATCACTGAGGGCTGTGAGACCATCCATAGTCAGTGAAGGGTCAGCAGCAGCCCAAGGGACCACCATTTCAAACCAGTTGCCTTTTTTAGGTGGGCAGAAAGATCATCTGAGGTGTCAGTCCCTTCATGCTATCTACAGATGTGGCCTGGGGACAGCCAAGCTTTGATGGTCAAGGTTGGGTAAATACCAGCCAGCATCAACCCCATTGGGTCAAGACACAGACTGGAAGCTGTGCTTTCAAGCAGAGTGATGCAGAAATTCCTTTCCCTTTGAGCTTTTTGTGAATTTGTGACTAAGATAAGGAAGTTTCAAAGCTGGGGAGGTGTTGAACGTCTCCAGGCACAAGAGATGTCTAAGGAGGTAACAAAGTGCAACTTGGGTATCCTACACCTTACCAGTGAGCCATGCTTAATGGGTCAGGCAGCAGAGGTGTAATGAAATCAATAGAGTTGGAGTGCAGATCTTTGAGAGCCAGCAACTGGGTGGTTTTGGTTTTTGTGTTCATATTGTTGTTGCTAGTTTCTTTTTAGTTCTCTTTTCTTCCCCCCCCTCCACTCTTCCCTCCCTCTAAGTTTCCTGTTCTCTAGTGAAACTTTCAGGTTTAACCCTTGGGAAGGCTGAGATTTGAAGGGCAGCTGCAAGAGAGTTGAGGTCTATTAGGACAGAAGGTATTTGGCACGATTTGCACTAAGAAATATCTGTGAGAGCAGAAAATAGGAGCCGTGACCAATCCACCAGGGAAGGGGCTGAGCTTTGCAGACAGGGCTGAAGGCTCCAGCTCTAACCCCGGCCTGACAATTGATAGAGAAGAATCTTGTGCCTGTTGTATTACAGCACTAAGGAGGAACGCGCGTTCTCTCCTGATCAAAAGTCCCAAACACAACGTGCTCCCCGCTGCTCTGCCTCTGATCTGCAAATACATCGCTGGTTTTTATCACTCAGTCTTGCTTTATCTGAGCAGAGCTGGTCTCAAGCGCTACAACCTGATTATCTCCGAGGAGGTTGCCAAAAGCATGTCAGGGATCGTTAAATGTAATACTAAAGGAAGCAGGAGGAATCAAGTGGTTGGAGTAGGAAATCAGAGGGAATTCCTGGCTCAGGTTGCCAGCCCAGTGAAGGCTGGGACTTGCAGCTTGCTGTGAAACAGAAGGTCACAGCTCATCCGAGATGATTGTAAAGTCCTTTCCAATCCTAACTGTTCTATGGTTCTAAGCTTCCTCAAATCAGTGATACATTAAATGGAAATGCCAGTATTTGTCCTCTTCCCCAGCCCTCATTAAGTTCACATTTACATACATGCATATAACCTAGAGGAACAAGTAACGTTTAAAGCTGAGCTTCAAATCCATGCAAAAGTGTTTGTTAGACTTTGCTATTTAGCCTGTGGCTTTGGATTTGGGGACAGAAACGGTGTCGGTTCAGTTTGCAGGAGAATGAACAGCAGCACAGCTACAGCTTTTCTGTATGAATTAGAAAACAAGAAACGATATTCTTGGGCCAAAAAACTTTCTGTTTAATTTGAAATGAATTGAATTTTGCATTCAAGAAACATTGAGAATAATTTTTGAGGAAAATGGAAAGATATTTTTGAGTACAAGTGGTCTGTAATGAAACTCTTTGCTGTAAAACAACAAATCAAAGTGGCTTTTCTCCATTGTTGGGCTTGCCAAAAGATTTGTGTTTAGAAAAATACAGAGTGTTTTGTTCTGACTGAATTTCCACTTGTTTTGCTTCAAAATAGAACTCTGGCCAAAAATAAGTCTTTTAGGTGTAATCAAGATCAAATTAATCAAACCCCGTTTGCTACTTGCTCAAAGCTACTCCTTTAGCAAAGGGGGATCTTCCCAGTTAGGGAAACTGTGTTTTAATAGGAATGCAGGGTTTTTACTGGTCTTGTAACAACTTCCATAGAAATAGGATAAAAGTAGACTAAAAAAACCCACAGTCTAGGCAAGAATTGTTATTAAAACCAAGCCATCCTTTGAGCAGGTAGAGTTTGTCAAAGGTTTTTAT